AATCGAAAATGCCATAGCTCCTAATGATGGAGATGAGAGGTGTCTCCCGCTGGTGCTGGCTGCCTGAGCGACGGGGTTGGGTGTGCTCACTGTGGTTTCCCACGCCAGCAACACCCTTCCCTTTGATTTGTCGCTTTAATGTCTCTATCTTAGCCGCTATCTTCCTAATGAGGGCATCCTGGTCTCTGAGTTTATGCTATAGGCGTTGAGCATGCGATTCTCCTCGCCACTGACGCCTTTCAGGACTCTGTGAATGATTAGTGCTCCTCGCGTGTTTATCTTGCGCGTCTTTGGGTAGCCTTCTAGAGGAGGTTGCTAGGCCTACAATTGTCGGAATGCGGGAGGGCTATCTCTTTCATGTATTGACTCTGGAATGATTCTGTCGACAACGGACAGTAGTGTTTCATAGATGTTCACCATGGAAAACAGTCGAAAAAGCTTGTAGAACAAGGTTTGCCTGTCAAAAGGATTCTTACAAACGACGCCAATTGTGCAGGAGAGAAATATTCATCTCATTCTGTACTTCCTTGCTACTAAGCTAATCGCGCTCCGCTAGAACCCTGTCGTACTGCAAACAAAGCAAAGATGAGCCACCTGGAGGGTGGGTTTGTCGGAAAACCCCTCCGACAGTCAAGTTAGCTTCCTGGATAAGAGATAAGATAAGAACACTGTAGAGAGAGAGAAAGAGTTCTAATTTGCATACCTCTAACATCTGTATGCCCTTTCTTTTCAAGGCTGGCCAAACAACCTTAAAGATTGTGGGCGCACTGCCTCCGCTGTCCTTCTCTGGACAGACGACTATGCTCCTCTCTACATTCCTTACATGTGTAGAGACCAAAACCTCCAAACAGTGTTTGTTGCACCGCTAAACGGTATTGACGCATACCAGGAGTGGGTTTCTCTATTCTCTTTATTGGGCCACGTGGAAAATCAGTCCCTTTTGTTAATCCAAACGCTGATCTAAGATAAGTCGGCCAACGAATCAGTGCTGCGCTGGGTCAACAGATATGCACACTGCCCCTAGACCGGTCAATCGTAGGCGTGCAGCGAGTCATCATGGCCAAATAGTGCAGTCGCGGAACCTAACCGACCTTGCGATGTTGCCATGACCTCCCCAACCGGGCTACCTAAATGTTATCCGAGCTGAGTTATAGATCCTTGCTATGTCTGCGCGGTCTGCTGTCATGACTCGGCCTATTGGCACAGCTCGGCCACGCGGCGTCCCAGTCTCTCATGACATGGCCCAATACCGTATTCCGTGTTGGTGCAGCTCAGCCTACTTTTCGGCACAAATTTCCCCCTCAATTGCCCCTTAATCCCGTCTGAGCTGATCATGAGTGGGATTATCATCTCTAATCGAGCTATCCATTTTGGCCAGCCATTGAGACTTGTGCTGGTTGTCTTGTCATCAATCAATCAGCCGTATTGACAACCCATTGGTCATATTGACAACCAATCATCTCCTTGCCACGTGGCGTTTCCCTATTCGCTCCGTGCGACCCCATGGCTGTCACCATTATACTGAAAATTCAAAAGGTTACTGCCCTTTTGTTTTCCCCCCATATATACGAGCTAGAAGTCTAAAAACCTTCATCACTGTTTACGTCCATTCTTGCTAAAAAAACCCTGGTTTTCTCAGAGCCTTAGTCGGCGCCGTTGCTGTCATTATTGCTCACGCTTCCCGCCGTTGTTCTTGCTTCGTCGGATTCGCCATCCTCTGTCAAAGCTCCTCCTCCATACGGATCAAGATCCCTCATCGTGTTTGGTAAGTCTTTTCGGCACAAATCTCCCTCTCATCAAGTTAAACTGAACTTAGGTGAAGAGAAAAATGAGAGACGAGAAAAATGAACTCAGGCAAAGACTTGATCCACTAGATATTCAAGACTCAACTCTGATATCATATTAGATTTATTGAAGACACATAATTCAAAATCAATTGGTAATGAGTAAAATAACCTTGAACGGGTCAATAAGACTAGGTAATCCCAAGGGATAGCACGGGATGGTTAGCCACCTAGGCTCCTAATAAGGAATTATGAGATTCTGACTTGTTTAATGTTTGTCCAATTCATAGGCTTAAGAGTGACATTGTTAGACTATTTCCAACGTTTCATTTTTTATTTCATCAAATTTAAATTTGATGGAAAATGTACAAAATTGGTGTTCCAACATTAACATCAATTCAGTATCAAATTAAGGATATCTCAATTTTTTCATCAAATTAAGGATGCTGGAACCTTTCACGAAATTACTGTACATAGCCGTTAGCATAACAAGTATCTGGTGGTCGATAAATGAGTGTCGAACAACCAATTGGATGTTCGGATGGTTATCTTTTCGGTCGACTACCTCCTTGCAAAATTGCCTATAAACCTGTTTCAGAATATGAAAAAATTATATTGGCCGGTTGACCGGCTAGACATCCCCGATCATCCTCTCAGTTGACTGGTGATTTGATAAAATTCTAAATTACTCCGTTAAAATGTGCAATATAAGATGAAATTTTTATTCAAATTTAACAAAAGAAATAAATAAATATTAGAGATGCTCCGGCAAAAATGAGAGTACGTTTTTGGGGGTGAAATTAGATCGTCAAATGTCTGCAACAAACAAAAAAATAGAGTCCCACAAAAATCAAAACTCTATTATTGTAAGGTCTATTTGGGAAGGGAATACAAGTTGGCTGTGGTAGACACTGAATAGTACCTACAAATTTAAAAAAATAATAAATTTAATTATCCAAATTACTCATAAATTTGAGTTTTTTTTTTCAAGCAGATTAATTTGTTAAATTCATACCCTTAACTTTTTTTTTGGTAAAATTATTAATATAATTAAAATAAATTATTCAAATGATAAAAGATAAATAAAAAGGAGAGAGATGAGAATTGAGGCACTAATGTGCCATTGCTGTAGTCATTGTCACAAGTAAGGAAAGAAAATGATAAGGTATTGTCACTACAGGAAAAATGAGTTTTGGCGACGTTTATTTAACGGCGTTTTATGAAACGTCACATTTTATAATATTTAATGACGTTTCTTAAACGTCGCTGTTTTAAAAAATAAAAACGGCACCGTTTCAAGCGTTTAAAAGCGCCTTCGAATGTCCTCTCTCTCCCTTAAATGGGCAACCCTCTAAATCCCTAACCTCTCTCACTCGCTCATTTTGTAGCCCTAATCTCTTACTCACTCAGTCTCTCGTTCGCTCTCTCTATTTCTCTAAACCCTCTCAATGGATCGATTCATCTCTCGCTGATTCATCTCAGAATGATACAATCTCGCTGATTCATCTTGGCGATTTCGATTTTGATTTTGATTTCGAAGTTCTCTCTCGATTTCGATTTCAAAATTTATGTTTCGGTGATTCTCTCTCTCAATTTTTGTTAAAGCCCTTTGTAAAGCCTTATTTGGAATCCTCGTGCCTTCAAATCTCGTCTCTCTCAACCTTCTCGAAACCGTTATCATTCTCACAGATTCATCTTTGAGATTCAGAGCGATTTCGATTTCGAAGCTCCATTACCACCACCGTCTGCACCGGCTCGATTTCTCTGATTTCCATTTCATCTGAATCTCTGATTTCGATTTTGATTTCGAAGCTCCACTGCCATCACCATCTGCACCAGCGAGGTATGGATTTCTCTGTTTCTCTCAAGCTCTTCCTTCCCGTCTCTCTCAATCTAGTTATTGAAATTGAAATTCTAAACAAGAAACTACAACTTGATTTGTGGCTAAACACATCATTTTCTTCTTTTCTTTACTCTCTGCTTTCGTTGAACTAGATTTAAAGTCTTTGCTTCAAGTCCGGATGAGAGAGAGAGAGAGAGAGAGAGAGAGAGAGAGAGGATGAGGATGATAAGGAGGAGGAGGAGGAGGAGTTGATTTGTGTCTGAAGGCATCCTTTCCTGATCTGTTATGTTGAAAAAGTTGAAAGATCTCTGAATACATATAGTTACTTTCCTTTTTCCAGATTCTTTTTAGCTTGAGGTGCAAATATCCAATCTCTTCACTTTCTCTACCTTCAAATCTTGTGTGTATGTATATTTGGATTTATTTGTGTATATTACATGTTTGTTAATATGCTAAGTTCAAGTTGAAGTTCTCTCTTTCTTGTTCTCTATTAGATTTCTATTTTTCTATTATTTTTCACTGCACCCAAAATACAAAAAGAGACACAAAAATGCACTTGTTAGTTTGTCTCTGGCTCTAAAAGTAATCCACTATTATGACTTGTAAGACCCACCAACCATCTATATATATGTGTGTATGCATATATGCTAAAAGGGTTTATTATTGTTGAATATGTAAATTTGAATTGAAGGGCAGTTTGGAAGAAGGCCATGGGACAGGGAGAGAGAGATGAAGGTCAAGATCATCAGACCTCTTAGGTTGATTCTTCCATCGACAGAACTGGTTTGTCTTTCTTTCACTTTCTTTCTCTTCCCTTTTTTTTTCCCCTTTTCTGACAGTAACCATGAATTATTTAATGTTTTATGTGTGTGTGTATATTATGTATTCAATTGTGTGTATGTATGTATGTATTTGTGAACTTGGCGGATAGATAAATAAACCAGACCAAACCAAACTAGGCCCTTGTGTCTCAATCAGGTCGGTTCGGATAGATAAAGTCACATCTCATAATATGACACATTTGTTTTCACATATATCCAGTATCCTTCATCTAAACCTTACCTCAGTTTGTAATAGGCCTTTTTATGCCCTTACAGCTTGAGTGGCTGAAGTCCAGTCAAGAACTAACTAGTTTCCCATGCACCACAAGCTTAGGCTTAATAATTTGCATGCTGAGTGCATTTGCTATCACTAGAGAAATTATTTGTTTATGTATTCCCAGGGCAGTTTTTAGAGCTTTGATGATAATATCTATTGTTCCTGAATCTTAATGCTGTGGGGCATGCGGTAAGAACTCCTTGACATCTATCAGAATGTATTGGCCGAGGAGAGATTCAAACGAATTATTAATACATTATCAAATTCTAATTCCACATATTCTGTAAGTTTTTCTGTCCTGGAAGCATAGAATTCTAGTTTGAAGTTGTACTGCTGTAATTAATTTCATCCTAAACCTTATTTATGAGTATTGGTGGTCCATGACACTAGGTTCTCTGTTGTTAGTCATATGAATTTGGATTCTGGGTTCCTATCACTAGAGAACTTCAAAGCTGCCCTTTCAAGTATCCAAAGGCAGCCAAATGTGGAATGTTTAAAAGGTATGGGTATTTTATTAGATTTTTTTTTACCTTTCACATGCATTTTTTTGCTTTTACGATTCTCATTATTCTAAATTCTAGTCCTTCCAAATTAGTCCACTAAATTCTAGTGAGTAGGTGAGTAGTAAATAGAAACCAATTTTATTGAAGTTTTTTGTTTTTGTTTTTTGGTTCAATAGGTTAATGCTGTTGCCCCAGGGTTCATTGCATCTGATATGACTGCTAAGCTTGGGGGAGACATTGAGAAGAAAATCTTGGAAACCATCTCCCTGAAACTCATTTTGAATCGTTTAACATGACTCGAATTGTGAATCATGCGATTCACCATCGATTCTGTCCCAAAATAGATTCACATCGATCTATGCATGAATCATGAATTGAATCGTGAATCAAATCACGAATTGTAAGATATTGATAAGATAGGTACTATTTTCAACCACCATTTTACCTCTTAATTAATGGGAACAGTAGGCCGTTATTGCTGTTAGAGATAGACTTTTGTTTTGTGGAAGTTCAGTTTTTGAGTGGATCTAGAGTTGACTACGATGCTCCTGGACACTCATGTACTACTATGCTTTACAGTGCTGATGGAAATAGGTAAGGTTATTGAAATTAAAGATACCAAACATGATGTAGGTTGGTTCCTTGATCATTTTCTTTTACCCATGCTCTTTTTGTGTTTTTGAATCCCTTGATGAAATATAGCTGGTCAAATCCTGTTAATCATTCAGCATCTTCTCTTCATTCCTTATCCTTTCTTTCAGATTGTTCTCTTGTGGAACGGGTAAAGATGGGGATTCTTTCCTTGTTGAATGGAATGAAAGTGAAGGAGCAATAAAGAGGACATACTCTGGGTTCAGAAAGAAATCTGCTGGTGTTGTGCAGTTTGACACAACTCAAAACCACTTTTTGGCCGTGGGTGAAGATCAGCAAATAAAGTTTTGGAACATGGACAATAATGACATTCTCACTTGTATGGATGCAGAGGGTGGACTTCCGGTCAGTGTAATCTTTATAGTTGTTTTGGGAAACACCCAGCTTGTTTGAATTCAGCTCTTACTTTATGACATTTTTTTGCCTTAAAAGAGTCTTCCTCGCTTGAGATTCAACAAGGAAGGAAATCTTCTCGCTGTTACTACAGCAGACAATGGAATAAAGATACTCGCTACCACTACTCGGTAAACCGAGCAAGGACAAAGTGGAAATGAATGAAAGAGAGATGAAATCTTTGAAAAATATTTCAAAACACCTTACTTAGGGGTTTGGGTTTGAAGAAAAGAGGAGAAGAGGGAAGAAATCCAGTTGGGGGAGAAAATGGGCATGAACCGTTAAGAAAAAGGCAAGCAGCCCTCGCCGAATCGGGCCTATTCATTTGCATACTTGGAATCAAGCTATGAGGCCACCACCGTCGGAAATAAGACTTCCGGGGCTTCATTTTTCACTTAAGAATCTCCTAAACCCAATTCCGGACGGGGGAGATAAGGTTGATTGAAGTAAGGCATCACTCCGGTTGAACCGAATCTGCGCGGCTTCACCAAAACAGGCATAACTTTTTCCACAGGAGGAATTTTAATGCAAGGTTTGCGCCATTGGAAAAATAACTTTCGGGGCTTCAATTTGGACAATTGAATGGCCACCATTGGACTTCCCTATCACTGGCCGACCACCTTTCTTTCCGGAAGACCCATTTTTTGCCCTGAAAAGTAGCAGGCCGGCCATCTACCTGGTTGGATGACCATTTTGGCCCTTTTGAGCTGGCCGTCCATGATCCCATCCCCAAGTGTGTTCCAGGTGTGCAATTTGTTTTCCTCTAGACCCTATACTCGAGGGTCTTTCCTTTTGGGGGGAAATTTGAATTGGTTTCCCCCCTATTTTCCCCCCCTTTCCTCCACTCCTTTCCTTATAAAACCAGCACCCTCAGCTGCATTTTAACGGTGAAAAAAAATTCATTTTGGAGCTTTGCATTAAAAACCTCCCTCTCTCTACTTCAACCCTCCAAAACTCTAAGGTTCTTGCACCTTTTACACACCACCTCCAAGCCTACAACCTCCATACTCCATTCCAGCAACTTGAGGCTGTTTTTCAGAGCTTAGGAGCACCATTTCTTGGTCCAAGAACTGCTGGTCCATTGGTCTACATCTGCTATGTTTGAGGCCAGCAGCTATCACTTGCCTCTTTAACTCTCTTTTAGGCCTACTTTTGCATAGTATTTTAGGCCTATTTGTGAGCTGTTTAGGACCTTTCCATAAACTGTGAAATAACTTTTTTTAAGCCCCTCTTTAACATTGTTGAAGGGATCTGCTATGTTTGAGGCCAGCAGCTATCACTTGCCTCTTTAACTCTCTTTTAGGCCTACTTTTGCATAGTATTTTAGGCCTATTTGTGAGCTGTTTAGGACCTTTCCATAAACTGTGAAATAACTTTTTTTAAGCCCCTCTTTAACATTGTTGAAGGGATCTGCTATGTTTGAGGCCAGCAGCTATCACTTGCCTCTTTAACTCTCTTTTAGGCCTACTTTTGCATAGTATTTTAGGCCTATTTGTGAGCTATTTTGGACTTTTCTATAAACTGTGAAATATCTTGTTTCGAGCGCCTCTTCAACATTGTTGAAGGGCTCTCCTCTGTTTGAGAACAGAAGCTGCCACTTGTCTCTTTACCCTTCTTTTAGGCCTTTTCTTGCATGATAGTTTGGCCTTATTTGTGATTTTTAGGCCTGTTTGTGTTTAGATCTGTGGCTTGTTAAAAACTGTAAAGTGCTTCATTTTGAGCCCCTCTTCAAGTTTGTTGAAGGGCCCTTGGCCATTTAAGGCCAGAAGCTGCTACTTGCTTCATTACCTCTCTTACGGGGCCATTTTTGCATGCTAGCTTAGTCCTATTTGTATTCATTGTTTTGCCTTGCTTAAAACTATAAATATGCATGTTTTCGGACTGCCTTGAATCTTTATTCATGCTTCATGATAAAATAATGCATGTTTTGTATAGCTATAGGTCATTGCGCATGCCTAGTTTTGCATTTCGGGTCCCATTCCATGCAGCGGGTGCCATATTCCTATGATTCGGGGCTGTTTCGGGTCATGTTTTGCTGCTGAAACTTGCATGTTTGTATGCCATTTTCCATGCCTTTCCATGTCTTGTTAGAGTGGCATTTCGTGCCTTAGGGTCGGTCCTCGGTTTGCGTGCATGAGTGCACGCATCTCGAGTGTCTCATTTTCATCTAATGGCTACTGATGTGAGTGTGGCTGAGGTCCACACATGTTAGTGTAAGTCCATTATGCATTGCGTATGCCATTTCAATTCATAGCATTGCGTATGCTAGGTTGTATGTTAGAGCATCGTGTATGCCATGTTACATCGTGCATTGTGTATGCCATCTCATAGCATTGTGCATGCTAGGTTGTATATTAGTTGCATTCATGCATGTCATGCATATTGCATTGTATTTGGGATAGGAGTTAGCCCGAGCACGGGAAACGAGGGACGTTTCGTACTTCGAGTGACGGAACGTGTCTCAATTCCCAGTCACCGACACTCCGGATTATCCATGATGGAGTTTAGGTTTTGTTGTGTTTATATGTGCATTCATTTCACATCGAGTCGTGCAAATCAACTCCTCGGCCATCATGCATCGAGATGCGTGATTGGTGGCACGAGGATCGAGGACTACACTCCCTGAAGAGTAGTCATGCTTACATATGTGAAAATACTTTGTCGTGCCCCTTTGTTTCTCTCTGTTGCAGCAAATCAGAAATCAGCAGCCTTCCAAAGCTTGGCACGCATCCCGAGAATAATTACAAACAGAGGCTAATTGGGGCATCGCAAGAAATTCTCCGCACAAGGCAACCCGAGCATGCATCATTCATCATCCGGAGCAGATTTGAAGCAGTCCCTGGCTTGCATGCCAATTTATTGCTTTCTTAATTTAATTTGTTAATTAATTAGGATTTTGTAATTATTTGGACTGTAATTATTTATTCGGGACTGTATTATTTATTCGGACCCTCTGCGCGGGGGCACAACTGTAATAAGTGTGCGTGTGTGTGATGTATGTTTTCCAACCCCACGTCTTTCTCCCTTTTATTTACCCGCTTATGATGGTTAGATTATGGCATATTTCAATTAGCATACAGTATGATAGCATGTTTGCATTCATTCATCTGTTTTGCATGCACCGGGCTCGGCGCATCATACTAACTGCATTGTCTCTTCAATTTTAAGTTGAATACATGTTAGGTGTAGCATTTCATATGCCATGTCTAGAATAGCCGAGCCTGCTATAGTTGCATTTTTGCATGTGTTGCATTAGGCATTTCTGTATAGTTAGGATCATGCATGGATTTCTAACCTAGCTTATGTTTTGGCTTGGAGTACTAGGTAAGTTTTATGCTTTAGCATCCTTGCATGTGTGTGAGTGACTGCCATGAATATCATGCTTACCATGAGGCTATATGCTTATGTGATATATTTGCCTGAATGCCTGTGGGTGAAAGGTTGGAGTTATGTTGAATTTGGAACAAATTCATCAAGGTAGATGTGTATTTAGGAAGCGCCACGTAAGATTAGCGTGGCAATGCAGTGTTTTCTAAGCCCACCCGAAGGTGGCAAAATGCCACAGTCTTAGCCGTACTCGTAAGAAGAGAGATACGCACAGGTCAAAACACTTTTCAAAAATATAGATGAAATGTTTTAGTGTTTCCAGATTCAGATGAATCGCACAGATCTATACTTGTTATGTTGTGCCGCATCAAACAGTAGTAAAGTAGGCTAGGCTAATAATAACGCTAAAAGAAAACATAATGTTTTCAAAAGATGAGATATCAAACGGATGGTAGTATGAGCCGATGCGTTTGATGGCGGGCGACGCGGGGGTGCTCACAGAAGTGGACCTTCCCCAATCGTACGCAAAGATTGCCTAGGAAGACGGAGGGCAACATTTGGTGATGGGGATGGAGACACTGTAGACACCACACGCATTTTTGTAGCCGGTCCTGCAAGAGCTGGAGCCGGTAAGCACGGAATTGGAAACAGCTGTGGTGGATTATCCATGTAGGTTGGTCGTTTCGTCTGTGAGTTGGGCGCGAAAGCACTTGGCGACAGCGCGCGGGAAACTACGCATAGGGCGGCAGGACGGGCTTCCGACTCGACTGATTTTGTGCTTGGTATTGACCACCAAACACTGTGTGTTTTTCTTCGGTGAGATGGACACGAGGTAGGGGCTTGTGAGACGCATCCCTCCCATGGGCACCGGCTGTGGCTTGGAGCATGCAGCTGTGTTTTGTTTTCCACGGGCCAAAATAGTTTGGTCACGAGAGACAGAGCACTAATAAGAATAGAAGAGAAATAGAGAAAAAAATACTTTGTTAAATATATAAGAGATACAAGTAGAATCTTTGAGAGGCCGGGCCGACTAACTGTGCATCTGCTTTTGCAGATAGGTTTGACACAGCTGTCGTTGACATTGGCTCCCTTGATACACGCTGGTATGGAGGGTCTCTCTCATTAGAAGGCTGGGTGTCTGATAAGGCTTTAGGGCAAGGAAAAAAAGCTGCTATAGAGGAGCCCCTCCTCGCTCTTGCGTTTAGTTAGACATTTTTTAGACAGCGGGAATTTAGTAGGGTTTGAGGTACTCACGGGTTTAGGGTTCATACATATCCTATCTCTATATCTCTCTCTTGTGTGTGTATAAGTGTGTTTGTGTCTTACTATTGCACACAAACACATAGTGTTACACCTTTTCTTGTTTCTTGAAGGGCCAGAGGTTTGTTCTTGAAGCTTTGGAGCTGTTTTGAGCTCAAGGAAGGGGCTGGTCCACCATTTGTGAAGAAGGTCAACAAGGGTAACAATCTTACCCCTTTTTACCCCATTTTTGCATACTATTTTTGCCTATCTTAGAACTATTTTTGAGCCTAGTGTATAATATAAATTTTTTTTTAGACCCTCTAAATAGTTTGTTTAGAGTGTTTTGTGGTTTGGAGGTGTTTGACCCCTTTTATGCCTTGAGGGGCTCCATTTTGTGCCATTTTGAGTGAGCTCCGGGACTTTGGTGTTTGGGCCTCCTTACCACTGAAATCTTGAGGGATTTTAGTGGTAAGGATGGTGCTTTGAAGTCCCAAGAAGGAGAGGGTCACCCCCTCTCCTTGTTGTCCTTGAAAAGGGCCATT